TGTGTTATGCATACAGACCACCATCTTCTAAAGTTGAGTGGCTTAATAATTTTGCTATATCCTTAGAAAAATCATATTTAGAGGAAAAAGAATGTATTGTTATTGGAGATTTTAACTATGATATTTTGAAGCATGATAATTGTTCTAAATCTTGGTTAGATCTAATGCAGTCTGTAAATTTTTCTCAGCTTGTTGAATCTCCTACCAGAGTAACTTCAAGCTCTGCTACATTGATAGATCATGCATTTTCAAACATGCCTCAAAATATAGTCGATGTTTTTGTACCTTCCTTATCCATTAGTGACCATTTTCCAATTTGTCTTTACACGCAAACTTTCAAATATCAGTGTTAAAGGTCCCATGCAGACAATAACCTTCCGGTCTCTTAAACACTTTGATGAAAAATCGATTTTTAACGAATTGTCAGAGCAACCCTGGTCAGAAGTAGCATCTGTAGAAAATCAAGATAACTCTATAGATTTGTTCACTGATAAATTTTTGTCTGTCCTTGAAAAACATGCACCAACCAGAAAAAAACGAGTAAAGAAGGTCACCCAACCAAACTGGATTAATAAAAACATCATCGATGCTATTAAAAAAAACACCAGTTTTTTCATAGGGTTAATGACACATATAATTACAACATATAGAAAACAACACGTTAAGTCTCTCATATATGATTCTAAGCGATAATATTATAATGATACCATCAATAAAAACAAAACACAACCCAAAAAGAAATTATGGACTGGTCTAAATGAATTATCTGGTTACAAATCCAAGGTTCAAACACATTTTATTGATGATGATGATGGCAACCCGGTTTCTGACCCTTTAATCACTGCAAATTTATTCAACAGACAATTTGTGAATCTCCACCAATCCCATCATACCATTAATCAGACTGGTTATGAAAATCCTGAGCTTGTTGAACTAAATGCATCTAAACTTCAGCATATACCCCCTTTCAAAATACCTAAAATAGAGCTCTCTTATGTGTTGAACAATTAAAATCGATTGATATTACAAAGTCAATGGTGGGTCAGATGGTCTCAGTGCAAGGTTTCCTAAAATTATCGGCTCATATTATTGCTCCCATACTTACCACTATATTCAATAACAGTATTATTAACAATACATTTTCTAAAATCATTTCAAAATGTGCAAAAGTCATTCCCTATACATAAAAAGGGTTTCTAAAGTGATAAAATTATAAGGCCAATTTCCATACTTCCCCTTGATATCACTTATTCTTGAACGTCATGTCAGTTTCACATTTAAAGCAATACCTTGAGAAAAAAATCAACTTTTATACCAACGTCAGTCTGGATTCAGGTCAAATCATTCCGTGTCAAACAGCATTGATTAGAATTATTGATGATTGGATTACAGCTATTGACAAAAATGAAATAGTTGGTTCAATTTTCCTTGATCTCTCTAAAGCTTTTGACTATGTGGATCACTCTATTATTATTGAAAAGCTTAGAATGTATAACCTAGACCCTTCATCCAGTTGCTTGGTTTTCCTCCTATTTAGATTGCAGAACCCAACAAACTTACATATCCGGTTTATATTCAGAGTCAAGTTTAGTAACTACTGGAGTTCCTCAGGGCTCAGTGCTAGGTCCTATACTGTTTTTTAATATATATCAATGACCTGCCTTTGTCTATGGAAAAACAGAAACTGATATTTTTTGCTGATGACACCACCCTTTCAACCTCTGATGTATCCCTAAACAGAGTAGTTGAATCTCTTACTCATGATCTTTTAATGCCAACAAAATGGTGTGATTTGAATCGCATGTCTATCAATGTTAACAAAACTAAGGTCATGTATATTTCCTCAAAACACAAGCAAAATTATATTCATGAAAGTAATCCTTGTATTTTATATAAAACAGAGCAAATTTTTTGTAGCTCTGAATGAAAAATTTTTGGGTATTACAATTAATAACACCTTGTCTTGGCAAAGCCATATTGATAATGTTCTTAAAAAGTGTAACTCATTGTTACATTTATTATCACGTATAAATTATTTATATCTATACCTGTACGTAAAATGTTTTACAATGCATATATTTTACCACATCTTGATTATTGTTGCATAATTTATGGTAACTGTACGTCTTTTCTAGAAGATAAACTCATTAAGTTCCAAAAGAGAGCTGAAAGACTAATTCTAGACAAAGATTATGACACTCCATCTGCTGAACTTTTTTCTGAACTCCGCTGGATGACCTTTTCACAGAGGGTTGTTTTTCAAAAAGCTATTATGATGTTTAAAATAATAAATAATCCTGGCGCCTTCCTATTTATTGAATAATTTCATTTTATCGTCAGATGTTCATACTCGCATTTTGCGTTCATCATCTGATTTTCAACTTTATACCCCTAGACCAAATACTGAACAATTTCGTAAGTCTTTTGTTTATTCTGGATCTTGTATTTGGAACGGCCTTCCTGATTATATTAAGTCTGCTACATCTGTTAACCATTTTAAAACCTTATACTTGAGGTTTTATCACGCATTGATGTATACAAATTGATAATCTCCTGTATGTTTTTACATTTATGTATTTTTAAAAGTTTGAAAATGTTAAATTTATATTGTTCCTTGTTGGTTGAGGGCCTCATGGAAGATTGATATGTTTGTTCAAATGAGTTCTCTCGTTAAATAAAGTCTTTATTATTATTATTATTATTATTATTAAACCATGAACTTTTAAATTTTCTCTTTCTATTATATGTATTCTTTCTTATTTGTTTTGACTCTTCAAATATACTTAATGAGTTTTCATACAAAACATCTGATAATTTATGTATACCTATATCTAATTCAACATCATTTCTAATTACATTTTTTGTACACTATTCACAATCATGTCAATGTTCGTATTTTCATTCTCTACCAATTCTTTGTAATTATCTATCTTGTCCCTATCTTCGTTATTTCATTTTAATACATTTATACTAACACTTTCATTATCAATGATTTTTGATATACATGCAAAACTTATATCAAGTTGAACAGGTTTATGATGTGAAAAAGTACAAAGGGAAATAACTCGCACTGCATAAGCACATACTCAATTAGACTTTACCTGTATTAGACATAAAGGTAAAATTACATATATCTGCATCATTCCCTAATCTCCCATTTAGAATTTTAAAATCAGTACTCAAGCATAAATCAAGAAGTTTATTTCCCGAAGAATTAACAATATTATCCATCGATTTTCTATCGGGTATAATAATATTACTGTTACTCATATCACAATTTTCAATCGAATAAATATAACGGTCAAAATGATCATTTTCTTCTTAAATGTCTGACTTATTACCGCATCTTGCATTCAGGTCACCTAGAACCTCTATTTTACCGCATTGAGAATATATTCGGACACCTATTTCAAGTGCTTCGAAAAAGCCAATCGTGCAAATTAAAATAAACAGAATTACTAAGTGGTATATATAAAGTAGAGAAATACATCAAAATCGTTTTTGAAAAAGTCTTTAATTAATCTAACCCATATTATGCCGTTACTGTCAGTCTCAACAATTTCGATTCCATCCTTCAGAAAATTCCTGTAATACAGGCACACTCCATCATGACCTCTTCTACTTCGTTTGAAAGCGATTCTATTCTAGGTATTGATAAGCATTCGTACTCATCTAGTGAAAAATTATCATTGCTACGTTCCCAAGTTTAACTGAAAATAAGTATGTCATAATTATAAATAAAATCATCGATACAGGTGGATAACCTTTCAATGTTCCAAGATAATAAACTTAAGTCAAACTTTACTGCGCATTCCTAGCTGTCATTATTTGTTGTTGTTTCAGGTTTATAAAGTACATTATTAATGAACAGTTTGTCCCTGACTAGAACGGCCCTCTTTCCTGCACGGCGTTCCTCCAACATCTTGGGAATCAATTCACGTCTTCGTTGTTGTACCTCGGGCGGAAACTGATCGCTAACATTGTATGGCGACTGATACAAATTGATGCTCTTTAAATATAATGCGTTTTTCACAGTCATTTTTGAGTCCGTACTAAATTTTACTACTATCGGGCGAGTTTTATCCGGATTATGGGCACCTACCCTATGTGGCCTCTCAATACTTAGGGTAGTTTCTGGATTCTCAATATTCAATATCTGCTTTCAAAACAAATTGACTTTAGCTAGGCAGTCATCCGTGACAATGGTTTTACTGGTACAATTTGCATATGTAAGTGTATCCTCGGTGGGGTTTTGTGGGGGTGGTGGGTTTTCGTTTGCATCTCCTCTTTTTTATGAGTAAGACCTAGGTACATTCTTGAAACCCGGCACAGTTCCCTCTGGGATGCAAAAAAAAAAATAGATTGTCTCTCATAGACCTACATTTTAAATCAACAATAGATAGCAACATATAAGATTTTTAAAATATAATCAGGCAACCTAAATAAGAAGCATACGCACGCACACACGCACACACACACACACACACACACACACACTATTTCACCTTACAAGTTTTCCAACAAATAATATATATCCATATATGGATTATTTGTTGGAAAACTTGTAAGGTGAAATAGCGGATGGATCCCCTGCCCTATTTTACCTATGACGGGGACAATACACGATGTTATCTGTTGGGCTTAAAAGAAAAACAAAAACAAAAAGCAAACGAACAACAACAAAAAAAACCCGACAACATCTTTTAGTGAGTACCTACACAGTTTGTTCAAATAAAAGCCCTGGGGGTCAAAATTGTACACATCTTTTGGAACTGTTGTTTTCCCTTAGCAATAGCAACCATTTTCAGATACAAATATGAACTTTGTGATATCAGTTTTTGATTTAGATTTTATGTCTGCTTTTGTTCATAGTTTACTTGTTCATTGTCATGGAGAGTTTTTATATTCAAGTGAGCGACATACAATACATCTGTAATGATGTTACATTGCATTGTTTACTTTCATTCCTATTTCAAATGCATTTTTGTTGTTCTTTTCAGAAATTTACCGAAGGCCAATGTCATAGGCGTGCTACTTGTGACAATAGTTTATCTGCTTACAAACATTTCTTATCTTGCTGTCCTTGGTAAAGACGGACTTCTTAATTCAGATGCTGTCGCTGTGGTACGTGTTCTTTAAAAATTATCTTGAGTTGTAATTTTCATTGACTCTATTTAGTTATTTTAGAAATTTCTCGTGAATTCTTGTGAAGGAAGACATCAGATACAAAACGGAAATTATTATACAGTAATATAGTATTTTTTTTTAAAGAATACATCATCCCCATACGGATTAAGAACGTGGTTCAAAGCCAACAGCCTTTACAGTTTGAGTTTCCATTATCTTACATTTAATGTATTAATAAGTTTAAACTACTTATTTACTACTGTTTCTATTGATGATCGCGTCAAAATGATTCATGTTTTTTTTTATGAAAAATACTCTGCTTCTATTTTGAATTAAGATAACCGCACATAACAAATAAACGATTTTCTAGACTTCACTAAATAATGAAAAATTCAAATGTGTAATGAACGTAATGCATTTATGAAAGTTAATGAGCTAATGTGATTTAGTAAGATCCAGTTTCAAATATTACACATTGATATCTGATCTCCCATCTTTCTTAGTTGTTAACGAATGATTCTTTGTTTGCTTAAATGTTGAAATTATCAACAATATCAATATGAATACATATGACTATATAACCTTTCCAGGACTGGGGAAAAGAAATGTTAGGAGACGCATATATCATTATGCCCATTGCTGTTGTCTTCTCAACATTTGGTGCAGCTAACGGCTTTTGTTTTTCATCAGCAAGGTAGGGTATTTAGGAACCTAGCATTTTGGATGGTGATATGTTCTTTATAATACAACTTAGACTGGTTATAAAAATGAAATATTTTTATGCTCCCCGAATGAAGAGCATAATGTCACTGCATTTTCTGTTCTTTCTTTCTGTCTGTCTGTATGTCGGGCCGATATTCAAAAGTTTAAGCTTCATTTAATGTATTCTGGTCTTCATATACTATTCTGAAATAATAATTCAAATAATTTTTATAAAACCTCATACAGTAATAAAGACTGGTGAGGGGAAATGCAGTTTAAAGAATCACACCTGTACATTGATTTTCTGCCTTTATTGAGCGTTAGGACAATTGGATCAAAAACCAACACACATTAAGTATCAAAATATGTTTCGCTTTATTCAGCTTCCTCAGTTGATACATTAAGGAAATGACGTAAACGTATATTGAACGCTATAATACTTGTCTAGATAATTACTTGAGTAAGTACTGAACGTGTTTGATAAAAACTTCATTAAGTAATAGAAACCAGTAAAAGAAAGTGCAGTTACTAAGAATCATAATAGTTTATTGAAACTGGATACAGTTATAGAGACAGTTTAAAACATTAACTCGCAACAACTTCTCCGTTTATGATTCATTCTAATACTTAAAAAGTATCGAACTACTTATATGTAACGCATCACATAGTGAGGGAAAGTGCATGTCCAAGAAATATTTTTCTTTAAAAGAAATACCCTCTTATTTTTTAACCCGCCGTTGCAATTGGAAGGGGTATATTGAAATTGCATTGTCTGTCCTTCCGTCTATCCGTCTATCTCATAAATTGTCGATTAAGTGGAAATTGTCTCTGGATTGTGGAAAATGCCACAAAATGATCAAAGAAAAAGCATTAAACACCCAAATGTTAATAAAGAAATGAGTTTTTAACATGATAAATTTCTACACAGAGCACATTCATGTAAACGCATTATCCACGTTCTGCTACATAGAAGAACAAACATTTTATATTTAGCTGGCCATTCACTGCTGTGTGTTCCAATATCACCTGACTTTAGATTCATTCATGTGAAACGTCGGTGGTTCTACTCAGGTTCCCGTTCGTGTCTGAAATATTGCCATGAGAGGCACCCGGGGCCTTCCTCCACCAGTTAAGCAGAAAAGTCGACATATGCCCCTTACATTATTGAAGTGACTGACATAAAACCAAAACAAAATGCTCTGATTCTCTTTTATAAAAAGTAACAATCCCGCATTACTGGATATACACGGTGAAATAGGTCCAATACAGGATAATCTATTTGGCGTATTGCTGAGATTCAAGCATGGCAAGGTAACAGCTGTAAGATGTGACATTCAAGAAATGTTTTTTCCGAGCTGGAATTGTACCAAGAAATTTACAAAATGAGAAACCATCAGTATATAAGTTTTACTGTACATCAGCGCACAATACGCACGTGCGTATAAAAATGTCCATGTTGTAAAAACTGGCACATTGAATGACTATTATAACCATTATGTGAACGCCCAGAAAATCAAACATAATTTGAATCTAAATGCTTGTTATGTATCTCGTGTCGATGCTTGCCTGTAATCATTTAAATTTGCCTTGTTGTGAGTTCCAATTTTACATACAACGACAATATACATCTTTGAGACACCATACATGTTATTCAATAGTACCACGCAAAGTTGAAATAAATATTAAATAAATCTTACATTTTTCTATTTTGATACGTATTTGTTTCAAATCCACAATACAATGATAATTATGGCAAATGTTTAAGCACTTAATACAGTTACAGTGAGACTTCTATGCAGATAATGACTTAATGCAAAATTTGAGGCTAAATTTTAAAATAACCTGTTTCAATAGTGTCAAAGTTTAAGTTTCTTGAATAATACATAGTCTATCAATAATCCTTTCATGTCAACCATGTACTGTTTCACTCACTCTTATGGCAGACCCTGTTTAAAGTTTAATTATTAGCTCGACTATTCGAAGAGTATGAGAGCTATTGTAGTCGCCCGGCGTCGGCGTCCGCGCTGGTTAAAGTTTTTTGTAAAGTCAAATATCTCAATTATTGCTTGAGATATTCAATTGAAATTTACAATACTTATTTATAGTAACAATGTACAGCAGATTGATAAGTTTGATAGCTCTGTCTACAATATTTACAGAATTATTTCCCTTTTTAACTTAGAAATTTTGGTTAAAGTTTTTTTGTAAAGTCAAATATCTCAATTATTGCTTGAGCTATTCAATTGAAATTTACAATACTTTTTTATAGTAACAATGTACATCAGTTTGCAAAGTTGCATAGCTCTGCCTGCAATATTTGCAGAATTATTTGCCCCTTTGAAACTTAGAAATTTTGGTTAAAGGTTAAAGGTCTTCAAAGATATTTACTTGAAACTTTACACATGTACTCAGGGTCATAATTGAAGGTCACATCTCAAGATTCATTACTCTGCCATGTATTTTGACTGAATTATGCTCCCTTTTGTACTAAAAAAATCTCCCTTTAACATGCAAGTTTTGCATATCTCTGAAACTATTGAAGACACAAAATTGAAACTTGATAAGTATATTTGTGGTCATAAATAATGATCACTGAACAGCACTCATATCTGTGTCACGTATTTAGGCTGATTTATCTCCCCCTTTTTTACTTAGTCTCTTGGTTAATGTTTACATGTTTTACATATCTCAATAACTATTGAAGATATTTATTTAAAACTTCACATATGCATTTAGGGTCATAATTGTAGGTCACTGATCTAGATCTATAATTCTATCTTGCATTTAGGCTGATTTTTCTCCCCCTTTTCAACTTAGAAATTCGTGGTAAAGTTTTGCTTGTAAGCTGTTATCTCCATAACTACTGCAGGGTTTGTGCCTTTTTTTTGGGACAATTTTATGCATTCATACTAATAAAGCAGTGATTTACTTGATAAAACAGCTTAATAACAAGCCTGTCAATTTTATGTATTCATAGGTAAGCATTATTATACTCAATAAAACACCCTTGTTACAACTTTTTCGAATAGTCGAGCCTTACTGTCCTCCGACAGTTCTTGTTCTAGAAACTCGTCAATGTTTTCTTCCTATTAGTGTCTGTTGTGGAGCGTCAACGCTAATCAAGGTCACATTTTCAACAATCTATGATATAATAGCGTTATCTTTCAGATCCTAATAATGATTTGCTTCTTGCATGTTCAGAAATACTCCGTCTAGTATATCTGCGAATTTGTCTGATTCTTTGATATATTTATTTTTAAATCTATTATTCACCCTCTTTCTTCCTCCATGTTTTTGTTCCATCCGGTATTTGCTGCAGTGTATACTGATGCAGAATGTCCATGATTTTCGATGGACTTGAGACCATTATCACCTAAGAATTGTCGCAATCGAAGTAACTTAAACATAGGTGTTGAAGATGTCGCGTCTTCGTATGAGTAAAATGTAAGGTTTGGTACTAGTAAGAATTATACAAACGTTTATAGGAAATCCACCATGAAATATAACGGTTTTAAAACTCTATTGATTATGCAATGAACCATTATGACTCCTTCACCTAATTGTATATTTAAAAATTCTCTAAATTCGATGCAATATATTTATTACATAAAACATGTAACATATTTATAGCAAAACCACAGGGATAAGACGCTTTGATCTTATATTATCCCCTACCTGACCCCCTCCCTCCAGTCCCTAGAAATGGAACGATCGAGGACACTCACCAACGAAAATAGTCCAAATCTATTTTATATCGTAGCTACACGAAATAAATATAAAACGGGTATTTTCTTCGTCACTGCACACAAACTTTACCCGGAATACTTCCAGGTAAGGTTTTTATGGAGAGATGAGAGAAGAAGAAAATTTCCGATTTGCATTTCTTCGTGTAGCTACGGTATAAAAAGGATTCGGACTGGATTTTAGTTGGTGAGTGTCATCGATTGTTTTACAGATGCAATGGCTTTCTTATGCAACATTCTCTCTTTTTAGCGATTCAGTCGTGGAAATTTTAATGTTTACGTGAATCAAATCTTGTCAGTTTTCACGTTACCGGCTGTTTCAGTGTTCGTATTAAGCAAAATACTTAACACTGCTTTATATAAAAATATGGAAGATGTCATTGCATAGAATCAAAGCACGGGAAGGGCGAAGGAGTTGCTACCCTTGTTGAGTGGATTACTGATTTATCTGTGAAAATTATATTTGATAATTTCACAGTGAAAATTATCAAAATATAATTTCACACTTTTCAATGATGAAACTACTTTTTAAGATTTTCCCCATGTGGTACCTCAATTTTATTTTTGCTGACAATTCTGACAATGTCAGGCTGTTTAAAAAAAGCAAAGCTGAAATTGATAAATAACATAAATGTCATAAGTGATAAAAAGAAGAAAACTTACTTCTATTCATTCAAATTCCAATCACCAAATTTCGTCTCTAATTCTTTTTGTTTCATTTTTACAGTCTAAAAAATACATTCCTTCCACATGCAAAACTGCTCTTGATGACAATTGGGCATATTAAAGTATTCTACGAGCAATAACTGCCGTTTGCTTTATGAAAACTTGAAAAGCAATGTCACAACCATCACTCGAAGAATAAATAAACAACCCAGCGTTCCTGAGCCAGCCTTTGAAGTTTTCCATTTTCCTTGCTGTTTTTGAATGTTTTCAGTTTTCACATCTGTCAACACTTATTTTTTGTCTGTTACAATCCTCAAATAAGTTCTCTTTCTTTTAAAAAGGTGTATGACTAACTAATCCAAATGATATCCCTCTGGATCAAACACGATTATTTTCCTCCCGTGAATTACACAACTTTTAAAAAATGGCTGCCGCTTACATTTAACAAAGCCAGGTCTAATATAAATTCGCAGTAAGTAACAGAATTATGGATGGAAGGTTGGACTTTTTCTCCTACAAGAATTGTTTGTTTTTATTATTAAAACAAGTGGTCATTCATATTTTTTTTAATAAAATGAATAATATCACCGTCATTTAACGTTGGCTGTCGAACTTTTTTTCAGCTCAAGATTTCTTGTATTTAATAAGAAATTCCGACTAAATGGGGCTCTCAATGGGAAAACAGATTTAATATTGACGTTAATATTATGGAAATTTCGTTTTTACTTGTTTTTACTACGCCACTCGTGAGAATACTGGTTTTAAAGCCCACTCGATGAAATAAAATTTAATCTTACACATTAAACAAACAAATATCCTCTATAACTAATACTATAAAGAGGTATAATGAAAATTGTGTAATAGTGTCATATTATTGTTGTTATGAAAACTAAATGTGAAAATTGACTTTAGATAATAATTTTAGGGGTTGTAACAGGGACTGGAGGGGAGGGGGTCCGGTAGGGGATAATATCACATCAAAGCGTCTTATTCCTGTTAGCATATATTATTGTCCCCTTCAGAATGGTATATGCAGCTGCACGTGAGGACCATTTGCCAGAGATATTGTCGTATGTTCACGTGAAACGTTATACACCAATGATGTCCGTAATGTTAACAGTTAGTTAATATTTGTTTTTATTTCACGTTTTTGGCATAAGGATTTATTTTCAACGATATTCTGTATGAGAAATATGGCTTATTATCCTTCCTTCACCTGGGCAATTAGACAATAGACATAATCAATAAAGTAACGTTTTCTTTCAAGAAAACGTAACGTTTTCTTTCAAGAAAACGAAGTTAAAATATAATTTCTTTGTACGTAACGAAAACGCAACAGGATCATGACGAAAACACGGATTTTTATCAGATTATCATATAAGAATATTACACCGGCTGCCGGTGCAGACCGGAATATCTAGCTCGAGGGTAACTGTTTACGGCGGTAACGAGGCTCTGCTCGTCTATACCAACAGCCGGTGTTTCTTGCATATTACATGTCAATTATTTTCGGAACAGAAATTATTAAAACTGATATTCTCATTACGCACTTTTTTCATATAGTAGCGTATGAACATACATTTATTCATAACGGAAAAATGACGTCACCCAAAGAACGCGATTCATTCATAAAAGGCCCGCGTCAATGACGTCATTTAAAGCACGTGACTTGTCTTACATGTGGGTGTAAGACAGAGTTTTCTAACACCGGTGTAAACGGTAGATAATCCTGTCTTGGATGCAAGAATTATCGATATACCGTACTGTCGAATCGTATTTATCATACTGTCGTATTTAATGGTTCTGACGGTTTTCCATAAGAAGTATATACATGTATACATACAGTAAAAAAGGCATTCAGAAAAATTTAAGCCGACACAAACTGTTTTCATACATCATCTCTCTTACGCTCATATGATTATTTATGTTTGTTTATTAAGAAACATATAAGTCACTAATAATGACACATTGGAGATCACTTTCTAGGATCCTGAGGTAGTGAGTATGTGATGTTTCTGTACGATACCTAGACAGTACGATGCTGGTAAAGCGACCGAACGAACAGCTAGTGCTTTAAAGGCGATTATGCCACAGTGCGATGACAAAAAATCGCCAAAACAATAGGACGCTAGTACGTTAGCGATAGTGATACAGTGCGATAACCAAACAACCCGACATTCATTACCGTAAAATCGCACTGCTGTTGTTTTGTTATCGTCCTGTCGTACTTTTATCGTACTATTGAATATCGCCTATCAAAGCAGAGCAGTCTTATTGCAGTTGCCCAAACGGTACATAAATTCCGTACATATTCCATTAACTGAAAAAAAATGAGTTTCTGTCACACGCTACGCAGATTTTGAACATAAATTTTAAATATTTTCCATCTAATAAATTTAAATGATTAAAAACAGTAAAAAGATTTTTTTTTTTCAAAATACCAATTCAGTTGCAAAAAGTTTGCAGTTTGAACATTACAATAGAAATTCAAGTAATTCTAACAAGTACATAGAACTATTGTAATTTTATATTTCAGGGATTTATAGCAATACTGATGGTGATTCCATCAGATGTTGGTTCTCTGATAGATTTCTTTAGTTTTGCTGCTTGGTTGTTTTACGGATTGGCCGTGTTTTGTGTTGTTATCTTACGATTTACTAAACCAAATGCCGAAAGACCAATTAAGGTAAATATAAAACTATAAAAATTGCCAGCTTTGTGCAATAGCTAGGATCGGCATTTTATGTCGAGCTTGAGAATCAACATTTGGCTCAAAATTCGATGTTCGTAAGAACTACATGTTATTTCAAAACAAATATTCTTATAAGGAATAATGTGCTACACAATCAACAATCAGTAACACATACAGAATTATCATATGCTTGATAATCGATAATCAGATAGACATCGAAACTTTTCAACGTTGAGCTTATTGACATTCTACTCATCATTCGATCTCAGCAAGGTTGAGGTAGACAATTAACATTAAGCTAGACATTCTAGACAATTGACATTTTCCTAGACCTCCGATCTTCGAAAATGTGCCATATATTCATTATTCAATGTTCAGCTATATAGTCAATAAGACATTGATTTTTTCCAGGGATATTCTTTTTTTGTAGAACAATCACAATTTATGTAATCAAACCCAAGTATTAAAATCTCATTCTGACATAAAGATATTTATACCATGTTTAGGTAATTGTTGTAATTGCAAATGATTATATGTTTGTGAAATGGATTTTTTTCGAATCGCATAGGAGTTATTCTTTGCAAGACGGCAGAATTTATGGATAAGAAAGACCTTAATCAAACTACATTGTATACATATTCTTTTCCGATAAAATGATTTTAAGGGATAAAACAATTAACATTATAAAAAAATTGTTGCAAATTAGATTTTCTTAACGTTTTAATGCTGGCGAGATGGAAAGTATTTATTGCAAACCAATGTAGTGTTTTTCAATAATCGTCGAAGGTGTCGTCTTAAAAACAGTTATAGCTGCAATCGTAGATGTAGTTGTGGATGTATTCTTTGTCGTAATGGCCGTAGTAATGGTAAGCGTCGCCTTAGCTGTAATTGTTGTCGTCATTGTCATTACCATACTTGACATTGTAAAAGTCGTAGTCTATGTCTTTTACCGAAGTATTATTTGTCGTAGTCAAATAGTTGTAGTATTCTTAGTCTTTAAAGTCATAGTTAAACTCGAAGTCTATTAGTTGTAGTAATTGTAGTCGCCCTGTAAAGTTTAACTATATTGGTTAATAGTAGATGTAAATAATGCATGTGGTCGAGATCAGCGTCTTAGTAAACAAAGACTTGTAGTCGTAAAAGACGTGGTCGAAGTCGTGTACAAAGTTGCTGATGAACTCTTTCAAGTCGTAGTGATGGTCGTGGCTGTATTGTCGGCGGAATATTTAAAGCCGTAGTCGTAGTAGCCGTAGTAGTCGCAGTCGTGGTTAAAGTCATGGCTGTAGTTGCCGGCGTACTTTCTGACATCGTTGTCTTTGCTGAAGTCGTAATAGTATTTTCAGCTGAAGTTTTTTTTTGTTATTCTGGAATTTACTCCTTGAAAACTACTAAATTCTCTTTCGATTTATCTAACGCTTTTGTTTTATCGGAGGTAGATTAAAAAAATCAAATACGTTAAAGGCACATTATGCCACAGAAATCCATATTTATTGGATTATTGAATTCTTTAGAAATGCCAAACATGTGTTAAATAATGCTTAAATAATTGATTTAGAGCATGTTAGATGTTAAAAAGCCGGAGAAAATAGCGCTGACTGAGCGGGAATGTTCGTTAAGGTAGCAAATATAAAGAAAGCAGTGTTTTGACTTCCATATAAAATACTCAGTTCACTTTAATTAATTATACCAACTGCAAACAGAGCAAAAGAAGCAAAGATGGTTCATCTATATGGCAAGTGAGTATTTGTTTAGAAAATGCAACAAGATAAAAAAAAGAATGTTTTGAGAAATAAAAAGTTTTGAGGAATAAAAATGACAGCATTCTGAGGCAAAGCGGGTCTTTTTTTGCTTTTGAATCTCATTGGGTCAATGTTATCGTTACTGAAAAATAGAAAAATGGTTTCTGGACAACAACTATAGTTAGGAATAAGATATGATCAAACTTGTTATGCAGTTAGCTTAAATGAAGATAGTTTTGGACCCCTGGGTTCAAGGTTATGTTTACTGTTACTAAAAATAGAAAAAAATTCCGAACAACAACTAGAGTAAGGAATAAGATATTGTAATAACACTTGGTATTTAGTAAGCTTATATGAAGATCCACGTAAGGGTTACTTTTAGACACCCTGGGCTCAAGATCATGGTCACTGTTACTAAAATTTGAAACAGTGCTTCCCTTAGGAATGAGATAATGTAATCTAACTTGGTTTATAGCAAGCTTTAGGAAAACTCATGTTGATATTACTTTTGTATCCCCTAGAATCAATGTCAAGGTCACTGTTAATAAACCGGTAGAAATGAGATATTGTTATAAAACTCGGTATATGGCAAGCTTATATGAAGACCAAGGTTGGGATTGCTTTTGGACCAATTTGAGTCATGGTCAAAGTCTCTGCTACGAAAAATAGAAATATGGTGTCCGATAATAACTAAAGTAAGCATTGAGATATTGATATCAAATTTGGCATAAAGCAAGCTCATTTGGAGATCCAGGTTGGAATTGCTTTGGGACCCCATAAGGTCAAGGTCTCTGTATCAAAAAAAATAAATAAATAAATAAATATAATAATATTGAACAAATCTTAACGTTTCCTTTTTATAAATTTAATCGGTGTGTCTTGTCACATTAGTTTTGTCAAAGTATTAATCCTTTTATTATTATATTTTTTATATTTATATATATATATATATATATATACATATATACACACACACACCAATAAATAAATAATGCACAAATCAGTGAAAATTCAATAAATTAACCTTCAAGGTCAAGGTCATAAAAGAGCCAAGGTCAATTTGAGTTTGATAAACATGAAGGTCTTGTCCTTAAGAATGTTCTGTTATAATATGAAGTCAATCCATTCAATAATAGCAAAGTTACAGCCAGTTACAGCCAAATTTTTTTTGAAAATTTCAATAATTTGACCTTCAAAGTCAAGGTCATTTATAATTGAAGGTCAATGTATGTCTGGTTATTTTAAAGGGCTATCTTTGATGAGTATTATGTTCAAGTTTGAACACAATCCATTCAAAAATAACAAAGTTACAGCCAATAATAGCCAAAAAATGAAAATTTTAATAATTTGACCTTCAAAGTCAAGGTCATTTGTGAGTGAAGGTCAAGGTCTGTCTAGTTATTTTAAAGGGCTATCCTTGAAGATTATTATGTTCAAGTTTGAAGACAATCCATTTAAAAATAACAAAGTTACAGTCAATAATAGCAAGTACAAGCAAAATTTGGACTTTTGACCTTGAAGGTAAAGGTTATTTATGGATGAAGGTCAAGGTTGGTGTGGTTTTCTGAAAGGTCTTATCCTAAGTGTTGTTGTGGCCAAGTATGAAGACAATACACCAAGAACTAAAAAAGTTATGATTCAGGTACAAGTTTGCGGACGGCACCGGCAACGGCAACGCCGCCAGGACTATAACAATATCTCTTCTTTAAAAAAAAAAAGTCGGGCTAAAAATGGTTTCCGGACGATAACTTGAGTTAGAAATGTGATATTTTAATAAAACCTAAGGTCAAGGTCACTGTTACTAAACTAGTAAAACTATTACTGGAAGATAACTAGATTTAGGAATGATATATGTTATTAAACCTGACATATAGAAAGTTTATGAAGAGACCTAGCGTGGGATTGCTGTTCGATTCTAGGATTAAGGTCGAAATCTGAGCTGAATGTCGATAGTCTAGCCCCAACATTTGAAATTTTCCAATGTAAACTAAACGTGGATCGTCTAGCTCAGCCTTCATTATGAGAAAAAAGTGATTTCATGTCGATTGTGTAGCTCTACATCTGAATTCTGAATGTCTACCTGAATGCTGATTGTCTAGCTTAATATTTTATATATAACATTGGAAAGTTATGAATATCGATTAGTTATTACCTTGTTTGGATTGAAATACTATGTATTATTCCTCCCCCATTTTCGGGATGCATGTAAGTTACTGGAGCGCCTGGCTTTGTTCGCATTTCAAAGAGTTTCACTGGTGGTCGTTTCTGGTCATTCTGTAATTTTTGGAATCGCGGATCTTGCGCGCAAGAATCAGGTCTCCAGCTTATATGTCAAAGTCAGACTTGTATATCCAAAGTCTTTATGATTATAAATGTCTGGTCTCGTCTTTCATGAATGGACTTTGAAATGATAATGTATGTATATTTTAAACATCAAAACATCAAGGTCACACTTAATTTGAAAGGATTTCGTTTATTAAAGTGCATATATGTTCATGTCTGGTCAACAATTATGTAATTCATTTATAAGTCATTAATCGAGGTATTTAAACAAAAACGTTTTCGTAATCAGTATGTAGATATGTTGCTCGCAAATAATTGGTCTAACGGTCAAAGGTAAAGGATACACTTCTACGTCAAAAGTCATGACTTGTCGTGGGCAAACGCGAGTTTAATAATTAGAAAAATTATAGTTTTACATATACATGTACATGTGAAGTTTGTGTCTTTGTCATATATTCATGGATGCTGCTTAAACTAATTGCTCACTCTGAAACAATGAAAAAGTGTTTCTTAATATTTATTCATTTTTGTGATACTCTATTTGGGGTAACCATACATTTGTTGGAAGCCAAAATTCATTAAAACTCGATAAGTAGCGCTTTCAATGCTTTCCTCTCAATGTCCACAAAGTACTATCCAAATTATCTCAGAAAAAAAAATAAAAAGCTTTAAGAGATAACTTTCTTCAATATGAACTTGTTTCGTAGTTTCTAAAAGTCACTAAATGGAAAGATTAAAAAATTCGGATGTTTTATCACAAAGCAATGCAGTTGCTCTTTCACCGATGCGTTTGTCTAAATACTTTAGGTAGAGACAAAGTGTTTACGCATGATTTAATTTTAGCCTGGTTCCTTTATATTAAAGCATGCATAAACTACAGACTGTTGCACAGTCCATATTTGTATACGGAGATAAGAAAACGTTGTCTTTCCATTTGAAGAAAATGTAAATAAAAATGTTTTGCAACAAAGTCAGAAAGCTGATGTATGTGAATGTTTTTTATGTTCTTGTATTTTTATTGACGACTCGCAAACTAAAATGCATCTTTAAGATTAGACTGCTTTGCAGCCGAATAATACATGAAAAAACAATGGAATGAATTTCATCAAACATTGAACAGTGCACATTCAATAGCACGTAGCTGATTTATATGTGATATATCATTATCAATAAATCTGATATTTTTTTATTCCTCGATTAAATCTGAAATAAGCTGTATATTGTACATGTACATCATTTATTTATTACATTCATATTATATATGTAAACATGTTTTTCAGGTGTTTATACTGATTCCAGTCATATTCACATTGTGTTCCATTTACCTTGTTATTGCGCCAATCATTCAGGAGCCGAGTCTCGAATTTCTATGGGCGTTCCTTTTCATCGTTGGAGGTCTTCTGTTTTACTTTCCATTTGTTGTTTTCAAACTTGACAGGGGATGCTTTGGTAAGTAACTGAGAACAAATACCAGAATTGAAGGCTTTTTATTGACAATGTAACTTTCAGGATTTTGTATCTAGTCTGTTTAATCTACTTTATTTCATATGCTATCCTGGCACATAGTGTAGGTTAGCTATAAGCCCGTCTATCTAAAAAATACCACTGGGTCATTGCTATTGAACCCTAGCAGGAATTATTCTTGAAAAAATGTTAAAATTATCATTCTATGCTGAACTTCGGCCGCAACGACAACTAATAACAAAAGCTTTACAAATTTTCTCGTGAAAACCACAAGGCCAACAGCTTTGATGTTTTACAAACAAAAGTTATTCAAGTTATTATCAATATGTACTGATTGATACAGGTAGGTGATGAATTTTGCTGGTATAATGATTTGACGCAAGTAAGGACAATGTCATAATTATGCCCCCATTTCGAAGAAAAGGGGGTATATTGCTTTGCACTTGTCGGTCCGTCGGTCCGTCGGTCCGTAGACCAAATGGTTTCCGAGTGATAACTAAAGAACCCTTAGGCCTAGGAACTTCAAACTTGGTATGGTGATTGGTCATGACCAGTAGATGACCCCTATTGATTTTGGGGATGGGGTCAAAGGTCAAGGTCACATGGACCTTGAAAGCAAAAACGGTTTCCGATCAATAACTAAAGAACCTTAAGGCCTAGGAACTTCAAACTTGGTATGGTGAATGGTCATGACCAGTAGATGACCCCTATTGATTTTGGGGTCAAGGGGTCAAAGGTCAAGGTCACATTGACCTTGAAAGCAAAAACGGTTTCCGATCAATAACTAAAGAACCTTAAGGCCTAGGAACTTCAAACTTGGTATGGTGATTGGTCATGATCAGTAGATGACCCCTATTGATTTTGGGGTCAAGGGGTCAAAGGTCAAGGTCACATTGACCTTGTAAGCAAAAACGGTTTCCGATCAATAACTAAAGAACCTTAAGGCCTAGGAACTTCAAACTTGGTATGGTGATTGGTCATGATCAGTAGATGACCCCTATTGATTTTGGGGTCAAGGGGTCAAAGGTCACATTGACCTTGAAAGCAAAAACGGTTTCCGATCAATAACTAAAGAACCTTAAGGCCTAGGAACTTCAAACTTGGTATGGTGATTGGTCATGATCAGTTGATGACCCCTATTGATTTTGGGGTCAAGGGGTCAAAGGTCAAGGTCACATTGACCTCTTAGGTAAAAACGGTTTCCGATCAATAATGAAAGAACCCTTAGGCCTAGGGACTTCAAACTTGAGATGGTGATTGGTCATGATCAGTAGATGACCCCTATTGATTTTGAAAGCAAAAACGGTTTCCGATCAATAACTAAAGAACCCTTAGGCCTAGGAACTTCAAACTTGGTATGGTGATTGGTCATGATCAGTAGATGACCCCTATTGATTTTGGGGTCAAGGGGTCAAAGGTCAAGGTCACATTGACCTTGTAGGTAAAACGGTTTCCAATCAATAACTAAAGAACCTTAAGGCCTAGGAACTTCAAACTTGGTATGGTGATTGGTTATGACCAATCAGATGACCCCTATTGATTTTGGGGTTAAGGGGTTAAAGGTCAAGGTCACATTGACCTTGTAGGTAAAAACGGTTTCCGATCAATAATGAAAGAACCCTTAGGCCTAGGGACTTCAAACTTGAGATGGTGATCGGTCATGATCAGTAGATGACCCCTATTGATTTTGGGGTCAATGGGTCAAAGGTCAAGGTCACATTGACCTCTTAGGTAAAAACGGTTTCCGATCAATAATGAAAGAACCCTTAGGCCTAGGGACTTCAAACTTGAGATGGTGATTGGTCATGATCAGTAGATGACCCCTATTGATTTTGGGGTCAATGGGTCAAAGGTCAAGGTCACATTGACCTCTTAGGTAAAAACGGTTTCCGATCAATAACTAAAGAACCCTTAGGCCTAGGAACTTCAAACTTGGTATGGTGATTGGTCATGACCAGCAGATGACCCCAATTGATTTTGGGGTTAAGGGGTTAAAGGTCAAGGTCACATTGACCTTGTAGGTAAAAATGCTTTCCGATCAATAACTTAAGAACCCTTATGCCTAGGAACTTCAAACTTGGAATGGTGATTGGTCATGACCAGCAGATGACCCCTATTGAGTTTTAGGTGAAGGGGTCAAAGGTCAAGGTCACATTGACCTTTTAAGTAAAAACGGTTTCTGATCAATAACTCAAGAACACTTAGGCCTAGGAACTTCAAACTTGGTATGGTGATTTGTCATGACCAGCAGATTACTCCTATTGATTTTGGGATTAAGGGGTCAAAGGTCAAGGTCACAATGACGTTGTAAGTAAAAACGGTTTCTGATCAATAACTAAAGAACGCTTCGGCCTAGGAACTTCAAACTTGGCATGGTGATTGGTCATGACCAGCAGATGACCCCTATTGATTTTGGGGTCAAAGGTCAAGGTCACATTGACCTTGTATGTTAAAACGGTTTCCGATCAATAATAAGAGAACCCTTAAGCCTAGGAACTTCAACCTAGGCATGGTGATTGGTCATGACCAGCAGATGACCCCTATTGATTTTGGGGTCAAGGGGTCAAAGGTCAAGGTCACATTGACCTTGTAGGTAAAAACGGTTTCTGATCAATTTACTGAAAACGCCTAGGCCTAGAACCTTCAAACTTTGTATGATGATTGGTCGTGACTAGCAGATGACCCCTATTGAGTTTTGGGTCAAGAGGTCAAAGGTCAAGGTCATGACCAGTAGATACTTTATAACCCTTATTAATTGTTTGATCACTGGGTCAGAAGTCATGCATAATAACCTTATCACATGACTAATTGGCTGCTGATAGGGGGCATACATGTTTTACAAACATATCTTGTTATGATTTTACTGTCCATTGACAGGAGATATTTTGGCTTAATTTTGGACTATTTTCTTCAGTTACTGAACTATTTTGAGCGGGAGTAAAGTGACAACTTCGGAAAAAAATCCGTGAAAATGATTTTTTGTTCAAAATATCCCAGGTTTAAAATAAATGAAGGGATTTTGTTTTATACACATATACAGTCATCACATAGGGTCACATAAAGTCACGCAAGTCATATATCTACCCAGTGTGTATTTTCTTGAAAATGTTGCGGTGTGGAAACAAACCGGTTGGAGAGGAAATGCTGCCATTTTAGGCAGAAGTGTATTTTTGAGGCTGTCGATGATTGCAGAAACGCTCTTACAGTGGCTAACATTCTCATAGAAACATCACTCTTTTGTCCTTTTTAGCTCGACTATACGAAGTATATGGAGAACTGTCCTACTCGCCACGGCGTTGGCGTCGGTGTCCGCGTCCGCGTCCAGATTTCAGATAAAAGTTTTTGGTGCAGTAAAATATTTTTCACTATAACTTTTTCATTTCTTAAGATACTATCTTCAAACTTCAAATATATATTCCTTATCATCAACTACATCTTATGTGACAAGGTTCATAACTCTAGCACCAATATTTTCAGATTTATCTCCCCTTGAACTTTTTCTTAACAAATTTCCCTTAACAAATATTATTTTTACTGTAACTTATTTATTTCGTAAGGGATCAACTTCAACCATTAACTACATCTTACGTGACAAGGTTCATAACTCTAGCACCAATATTTTCAGATTTATCTCCCCTTGAACTTATTTATTTCTTAAGGGATCCACTTCATACTTCAAATATATGTTCATTACCATCAGCTACATGTGACAAGTGTTATGTGACAAGGTTCATAACTTTAGGTCTAATATTGCAAGAATTATCTCCCCATAAACTTAGATTTTTTTACTTAAAAAATGTTATTTTTTTACTATAACTTCTTCAGTTTTAAAGATATCAACTCAAACTTCAAATACTTATTCCTTATTATCAATTACATCTTATATGACAAGGTTCATAACTCTTGAAACAATATTTTCAGATTTATCTCTCTTTGAACTTAGAATTTTCTTTGAGAGATATTATAACTTCTTTACTTTTTAAGGTATCTACTTCAAACTTCAAATATATATTTCTTATTATTACACACATGTTGTGTGACAAGGTTCGTAACTCTAGATTGACTATTTCTAGAATTATTCCCCCTTGAACTTGGAATTTATGTAAACAGATGCTATTTTTTTTACTATAACTTTATACATAATTATACATAATTGATTTTTCTTTTCTTACCTCGTCCAATATTTTATTAGTCGAGCTTCGCTGTCTCCTGAGACAGCTCTTGTTAGTTTACTTGTCACAAAGTACCATGGTGAGCTTTTGTGATAACATTTCGTCCGTCCGTCCGTAAACTTTAACTTTAAACGACATCTTATCATAAACTACTAAGCCAATTTCATCCAAACTTAGCAGGAATGTTCCTTTGGTGATCACCTTTAAAATTTGTTCAAAGAATTCAATTCCATGCAGAACTTTGGTTGCCATGGCAACCGAAAGAAAAAACTTCTATTAAAAACCAATATAGTTAGAGCTTAGATATTTGGAATGAAACATCTTCTAGTTTGTCTACCAAGTTTGTTCAAATGAAAGCCCTGGGGTCAAAATTGGCCCTGGCCCGGTGGTAATGATTTCCCTTATATGTATAAAAGGAAAACTTCTTTCAAAACCCAAAGAGCTAGAGCTTAGATATTAACCATGGAAGAACTTGTAATGGGTGTCTACCAAGTTTGTTCAAATAAAATCTCTAGGGGTCAAATTTGGACCCGCCCTGGGGTCATTGATTTTCCTGATATGTATATAGTAAAAACTTAAAAAATCTTCTTTTAAAAAACACACATTGCTAGAGCTTAGATATTAAGCATGAAAAATCTTTTAGTGGAGGTCTCAGAAAAAACACATCTGAGTCATATTGTGTGAAACTATGATGCCTATAGCTTAGATATATGGAGGATATTTGTTTGTTTGGCATGTAAGATTGTGAAATATATTTCACTGAGTGAACACAATATGCAATATTTTCACGAGTGGCATAGCCACGAGTGAAAATAGAATAGCTGTGTTCATATGAATGAAATATATTTCAATCTTATATGCAAAACAAATAAATTTTCTTTTGATTTGATGCTTTATAAGTGATTTTAAGTATTTTTTTTACTGGTTTTACCGCTTAAGGTCGCGCATTCTCCTTTTTACGTCATCATATGACATCACATCATCAATTTTGAAATATAGTTCTGTTAAATTTCTCTAATTTTGTTACATTTTAAACATAATTTATGGTGTCATCGACTTTCATTTTCTGAAGAAGCAAAATTTACCTATGACGGCAATTATTTTTGCCTGTTATTCCATTTAGTAATGGTATTCTTTTCATCCGCATTCAGATGTAGTTCGGCTACAGTGATAACTTTATTTTATAAATTTCACTAGTGGTTTATCAGAATAAAATCATCTGATATATTACAGTAAAACACTGGAAAGCATGAAATAAAAAGTTTGTAACATGACTTTGTGGATCACAAAATAAATGGTATGAATCATGCCCCTTGAGTCAATATAATTATATATTTGCCCCAGTCAGTTAGTTAATATAGTTTCGTATAGGTAAGTAAATCACAACTAAGTCTTATTTGGCAAACTACAATGCATAGAACTTAGTTATTTGACATGTAGAATTTTCTTGTTGGCCTGTACAAAACTGATATTAAGCATGCCCCTTGGGTCAATATTGCCACCGCCTCTTTGGGTCACTTAGTTGATAAAGTCTTGTATGAGAAAACACATTTCAGTCTTATTTTAGGAAGCAGTGCCTTAAGTTTGAATATGCAGCATTGCCTTGTTGACCTTTACAAAAATTGATATAAAATGTGCTCCTAAGGTCAGTATTGGCTAAACCCCGGGGGTCACATATTCTATAGAGACTTCTATAGGAAAACTTATTTGAGTTTTATCTTGTGGAATTACATGTACAATGTTTAGAGCTAAGCTATTTAGCATGAAGCATTACCTTGTGAACCTCTGCAAAACTGATAATAATCATGCATTGATCCGCCCCCAGGGTCACTTGATTTATATATACTCGTACATGTATAGGAAAACGCATTTAAATCTTAGATGTTTGGCATGTAGCATCACTTTGTAGATTAAATTATGACCCTCAGATCAAAATTGGCCCGGCCTTTAATGTAGAATAAGGCATAGGAAAACACATCTTTTTTGTGGATAACTATGCCCCTATATTTGTCATATAACATTGACTAGTAGAGTCTTAGAGCCTTATTGTCGAGTTAGAAATGACCAACAGACTGTCCAATCTGATCTTAATCATAAGTATTTGTTGTTTCAGTATAATTGTTCTTATTGATAATAATACATTGCATTTTCAGTATCAGATGTGATAAACTAAAATAATTTATTGATGATCGATATTGCTTTCAACAGAAAAATGCACAGTAACAGTATCAACATTATACAAAATTAGTTTGTGGTTACTTATAAGTATATTTAGCTATAAACACTCTCAGTGGAGGTCAAACAAATATTATTTCTTATAATTATGATCAAACATTAATTTTTAAGTATTAATGTACATTTTCTTTTTCTACTTTTTATTTTACAGATAAAGTTACGATTTTCTTTCAATTACTCTGCGAGGTTGCACCAAGTCCTTACATAGCCGATAAAGAATCTCCAGGAACATCGGGAAAATGTGAAAGTTAAAACAGGCAACATTCAAGTACTTTCGATTGTATAATTCTGAGTTTTTAGCCCTGAGTTTAAACTGAGGTTTAACCGATGCCATTTTCATTAAAGCAGTTTTACATTTCTCCGATTAGACTTTCACTAAGATGCATTGCATAAATTAAGTAAATAACCAGAGTTAAAGTTAAGTCAAAAACATGGATTAAAATAAACCCAGCCAAAGGGATAGTTTAAGGCGAAGATTTAGTATGACAATAAAACTTCAGCTTAATCGCTGCTATTTTTGGCTCAAAAACAAAACCTGGCCTTGCAATACTTGGACATTGATAAGGTTAAACTTACCCCAGTTCTTACATGCGGACCGTGGAGTTTTAGTTCTTAAAGAAACACACATGAATATTGTAAGTAAATAGAATAAAATGACCTGGAATTAAATATTGTGTATATATATATAAACTGTGTAGATGTGTAGATGACTTAGCTCTGAACGCGCCTGAGGGCGCGTCCGTCGCAAAAAAATATACATATGCGTTTTATCACCAAGGGGCCCTAAAGCTAAAATAATAGTAGTTAATTTATAATACCGACAAAGATTACTTTAATTTCAACCAATATTTAAGACATCACAGCAATTCTTTTCATATCTATATCTATTTTTGAAAATGCATGTAAGAAGAGAGTTTTTCAACACTTTACCACCATGTAGTCTTTCATGGTAAGGAAGTTATAATAGCAGTTTTACTTCCGATTCTTGTTGTTTGTTTACATATTTTTCTAGGTCACGATATGAGTTAACCTTCGCTATTCTAAAAATAGATTCTGCTTCACCTGTGCTGTTTTTTGGACAGGCGATTAGGGAGTACACATTATGCATGTAATAAACCGGCGGATTACATGCAATACTTTTAGAAATTCTATACAATTGTAAGAAGCAAACAAGTTGAAAATGGAATTTAATGTGAAATTGAAAAGGACAACTAAAGGACAACTAAACACTGTAATGCTTAAGTGACATTTAAATTAAAATAAAAACGATGTGCTCTGGCCTCTACATCTTTACCTTATTAATAAAACAAGAGGGCCATGATGGCCCTGGATCGCTCACCTGACACAACCGCATCCAAGCAATGTCTTAAACAAGCATCATGGCCAAGTTTGATGACAACTGAGTCAAACATGTGACCTCTAGTGTGTTATAAAGATTTTTCCATATTTGGGCAATGTGACCTAATTTTTGACCGGACACGACCCATATTCAAACTTGACCTAGAAATCATCAAAACAACCTTCCTGACCAATTTCCAGGAAATTTGGATCAAAACTGCAGCCACTAGAGTGTTAAAAAGATTTTTCTATTTTTAGCTCCTGTGGCCTAGTTTTGACTGGACATGAGACCTGAGATGACCCATCTTCGAACTTGACCTAGAAATCAGCAAAACAACCTTCCTGACAAATTTCCAGAATGTTTGGATGAAAACTGCAGCCACTAGAGTATTAACAAGCTTTTTCTATATTTAGCTCCTGTGACCTAGTTTTTGACCGGACATGACCCATCTTCGAAATTGACCTAGAAATCATCAAAACAACTTTCCTGACAAATTTCCAGAATATTTGGATGAAAACTGCAGCCACTAGAGTGTTAACAAGCTTTTTCTATTTTTAGCTCCTGTGACCTAGTTTTTGACCGGACATGACCCATCTTCGAACTTGACCTAGATATCATCAAAACAACCTTCCTGACAAATTTCCAGAATATTTGGATGAAAACTGCAGTCACTAGAGTGTAAACAAGCTTTTTCTATTTTTAGCTCCTGTGACCTAATTTTTGACCGGAGATGACCCATCTTCGAACTTAACTTAGATATCATCTAAACAACCTTCCTGACAAATTTCCAGAATATTTGGATGAAAACTGCAGCCCCTAGAGTGTTAACAAGCTTTTTCTATTTTTAGCTCCTGTGACCTAGTTTTTGACCAGACATGACCCATCTTCGAACTTGACCTAGAAATCATCAAAACAACTTTCCTGACAAATTTCCAGAATATTTGGATAAAAAACTGCAGCCACTAGAGTGTTAACAAGCTTTTTCTATTTTTATGCCCCCGCCATGTAATGGCCGGGGCATATAGTGTTATTATGCCCCCGCCATGTAATGGCCGGGGCATATAGTGTTACCCTGTTCCGTCATTTCGTCCTTCCGTCCTTCTGTCATTCCGTCATCATCAGTTTCCGTTCATTATCTTAAGAACGGTTGCACACATTCAACTCAAATTTGACATATGGATATGTCATGAGAAAATACAGGTCAAGTTCGAATTTGGTCATGGTTCGATGATTTTTGGCAGATTTATGCCCCTTTTGCTTTGAAAATAATATGAAATTTTCAGTTTCCGTTCATTATCTCCCCAACGGTACAACACATTCAATTCAAACTTGACATATGGATGCGTCAAAGGAATGCGCAGGCCAAGTTCAAATTTGGTCATGGTTCAATGATTTTTGGCAGAGTTATGCCCCTTTCACTTTGAAAGTAATATGAAATTTTCAGTTTCTGTTTAATATCTCCCCAATGGTACAACACATTCAACTCAAATTTGACATATGGATATGTTTTTTGGAATGCCCAGGCCAAGTTCGAATTTGGTCATGGTTCAATGATTTTTGGCAGAGTAATGCCCCTTTCACTTTGAAAATAATATTAAATTACAGTTTCTGTTCATTATCTACCCAACAGTGTTACATATTCAACTTAAATTTGACATATGGATTTGTCAAAGGAATGGGCAGGTAATGTTGGAATTTGGTCATGGTTTAATGATTTTTTGGCAGAGTTATGTCCCTTTCACTTTGAAAATAATATAGATACATCTTAGGAATAAGCAGTTTATGTTTGAATTTGGTCGTGGTTCAATGATTTTAGACAAACTTATCTTTCCTGAATGTTGGAAAAATTTTGAAATTTCAGTTTCAGCACTCATACTTTAGCCATTATTTTGGCTACATATATGCAATATGCTATTTTTAAAGGTTAAGACGGAATGATTACAGTGCCTTGAACATTGTATGAAAATGGTTTGTGTTAACATTGAAAAGTTTTAAGGGCTTTGAACTTAAAATGAAAAAAATAATTAATGCACCATCTGAAATTTTGGCTGCATGCGGGGGCATCCGTGGCATGATGACACATTTCTAGTTAGCTCCTGTGACCTAGTTTTTGACCGGAGATGACCCATCTTCGATCTTGACCTAGATATCATCAAAACAACCTTCCTGACAAATTTCCAGAATATTTGGATGAAAACTGCAGCCACTAGAGTGTTAACAAGCTTTTTCTATTTTTTAGCTCCTGTGACCTAGTTTTTGACCGGAGATGACCCATCTTCGATCTTGACCTAGATATCATCAAAACAACCTTCCTGACAAATTTCCAGAATATTTGGATGAAAACTGCAGCCACTAGAGTGTTAACAAGCTTTTTCTAATTTTTAGCTCCTGTGACCTAGTTTTTGACCGGAGATGACCCATCTTCGAACTTAACTTAGATATCATCTAAACAACCTTCCTGACAAATTTCCAGAATATTTAGATGAAAACTGCAGCCCCTAGAGTGTTAACAAGCTTTTTCTATTTTTAGCTCCTGTGACCTAGTTTTTGACCGGAGATGACCCATCTTCAAACTTGACCTAGATATCATCAAAACAACCTTCCTGACAAATTTCCAGAATATTTGGATGAAAACTGCAGCCACTAGAGTGTTAACAAGCTTTTTCTATTTTTAGCTCCTGTGACCTAGTTTTTGACTGGAGATGACCCATCTTCGAACTTGACCTAGATATCATCAAAACAACCTTCCTGACAAATTTCCAGAATATTTGGATAAAACCTGCAGCCTCTAGAGTGTTAACAAGCTTGTTCTATTTTTAGCTCATGTGACCTAGTTTATGACCCGAGATAACCCATCTTCGAACTCGATCTGTATTTCATTGAGACAAACATTCTGACAAAGTTTGATGATGATTCAATCAAAACTGTGACTGCTAGACTGTTAACAACCCAATTGTTAGTGTTAACAAGCTTTTTCTATTTTTAGCTCATGTGACCTAGTTTTTGATTGGAGATGACCCATCTTCGAACTTGACCTGGATATCATCAAAACAACCTTCCTGACAAATTTCCAGAATATTTGGATAAAACCTGCAGCCTCTAGAGTGTTAACAAGCTTTTTCTATTTTTAGCTCATGTGACCTAGTTTATGACCTGAGATAACCCATCTTCGAACTCGATCTGTATTTCATTGAGACAAACATTCTGACAAAGTTTGATGATAATTCAATCAAAACTGTGACTGCTAACTGTTAACAACCCAATTGTTAGTGTTAACAAGCTTTTTCTATTTTTAGCTCATGTGACCTAGTTTTTGATCGGAAATGACCCATCTTCGAACTTGACATAGATATCATCAAAACAACCTTCCTGACAAATTTCCAGAATATTTGGATAAAAACTGCAGCCTCTAGAGTGTTAACAAGCTTTTTCTATTTTTAGCTCCTGTGACCTAGTTTTTAACCCGAGATAACCCATCTTCGAACTCGATCTGTATTTTATTGAGACAAACATTCTGACAAAGATTGATGATGATCTGATCAAAACTGTGACTGCTAGACTGTTAACAACCCAATTGTTGACGACGAACGACGCACGACGACGGACGCCGGACATAGCCCCATCACTATACCTCACCATGACCACTTCGTGTTCAGGTGAGCTAAAAATCTAAAAAATACACTATTAATTGCTGATGATTTTAACCAAAAATATTTTAATGAGACATGAGAGGAATAAAAATACAAATGACTTATATTTTATTGTCTAAATGCCCACTATGATATAACACGAAGCAATTCTATTCTCACATGTATAACGTATTATGCTTGAAGTTTATTTGCATGGTTTTATAATAAAATATTTAGAAATATTTCGTTGACAGTATTTTTTTCTATTTACATACCATTTCTTGGAATAAATCGATAAGAACACTGATTTACAAGTTTGACCAGAGTTTTTAGGCATAAATTTCATTCTGTATTTAAGTGCTTGAAAGTAGAAAATCTGAATTATATCTGTTTGGGACACAAGATATATTGCTCTACAAATCTCGAACTTGCATGGAACAAATTTTCTCTGTTATATATTTTGTGTTTGGCTTTTGTTTTGTTTTTTTCTAAAAAAAAGTCTTAATGTCTCTCCGTTGCATGTCCGTCGAATTCAGTGCTGCAGCATTTAGCAACCCAGATGTGGGTTCAAGCTGGAAGATTGTCCCAGAAAGATTCAATTTAAATTTTAGATTGCTTGTCGGCCTTTCATCTACAAACATGTTTTATAGGTATTATACTATTGGATTATTTTTTATAAATTTCATTGATGCAAATAAATC